TCCTTCAAAATTTTCATCAAAAACTGATCCATAATTCTTTTGAGGGTCTCTATTTTCAATCATGGCATTCTCCAATTTCCTTTAACATTGTTTTTCTCTTGTTCTGGGATTTCTCTTATTGATGCCAGCAGTAATGGCATCACAGTCGAACTCCTTCATCGCGACTCTCCTCTTTCGCCTTTCTATAACCCTGATAGTACACTATTCGACCATCTAAGAATGCGTTCCATCGTTCTTATTCACGTAAAGCATCCCTCGGTCCAATTGCATTTTCAACGAAAAAATTCGAATCCCCACTCCACTCGAATTATGGAGAATACCTCATGAAAATCTTGTTGGGGAAAATTGGAGAATCATGAAGGAAAAAAAAAATTGATTCACCAAATTGAATTCGATTTAAGCTTGTTGGGAAAATTAGGAGAATCAAAGTAGATCAATCAAAACCGAAGGCATGTGTTTACACGGTTTCCTTAAATCGAATTCGCCGCCTCACCGAAGTGCAAGAGGTTTTGATCGGTGTTCGATTCCCAGAATACAATCGGTTGTCGGTTCCCGCTGCACTACGTTAACCGCTTACGAATTAGCTGTGTTTTTCTCTCAAAGAACTTTAGCAAAGGAAGAACAAGAATAAAAATGAGGCTGCTAGAAATGAAGGAGGAGGAAACGGGTTTTGTTTTTTTCTTGTTGTGTTTGCTATGTTCACTCCAACCGAGAGCTCTTCTATTTATACCCATAGAGGAGGAGCCAGCTCTTTAATGTATTGAATGGAGAGTTACATGAATGAGGAGTTACAGCACTGATGAAAATGAATGAGGAATTACAGCACTGATGAAATTCAAACGGATGGAGGAGGAAACTGATTTTCATTGAAACTGACAGGAAACTGATTTTCATTCAATATTTCCAACAATCCCTCACATGAATGAAAATTTGGAAAACCTGAGAAAGATAGAGTAGAACGAATCAATCCTGCATAGGATATGTAGCATTTAGCTTTGAACATTCCCTTGTGAAACCTATCGGGAATTACTAGCAAACCAGTGAATCTGATGCCTTGAACTGTTTCGCCATTTGTGTAAACCAAGACAATAGATCTCACACAGGACCATTCTAGACATGGTGTAGTTCTCAATGTTGTGTTCGTTTTGGCCACACGTCGTCTGGTTCTGCAAGTGTTTGTTCAAGGATGTAGCCCTCCCAATTCTTATAGAAGTAGCCCCACTTCACGGTGACATAAGTGACCTCTTAACTCAGCATTTCATAATAACGCTTAAGGGTCATTAAAAACATAGCTTAACTTGTATCTACCAATCACTGTGAGCACCATAGGAATGAGCAGAAGGAGAATCTTCTTAGTTATTTACACAGATATACATGGTTTAGTTGTCTCTTTGAACCTAGAGCCTAGAATCTCCATTCAACTAGGTTGGGTTTCCACCATGATACATTTCAACGTTGTCATAGGCTGCAACTGAGACCCTTTCGCGGTCTGCTTTTTATCTTTCCAATTTCCGTTACCCTGTTTAACTTTAAAGGATTGACCTTTTTCAGTACCAGAACTTTAGCCATGCTCCTATATATTAGCCTTCTCAGAGTAAGAATTCCCTGACTTACGTTCAATTTTTTTGTTATCCTCCTCAATGCTCAGCTTGATAATTAAATTCTCGAAAGGCATCTCTTTCCTCTTATGCTGTAAATAGTTTTTGAAAACTTTCCACTGAGGAGATAGCTTGTGAATAGCAGTAGCCACCTGTAGAGATTCTGACATAGTTAGACCCTCGGCATGCATTTCTTTCAAAAGAACTTGATACTCCTGCACTTGGCTCACCACTGAACGTGAATCAACCATTTCGAAGTCCATGCACCGACTGGCCAAGAATTTCTTAGACCCAACATCCTCGGACTTGTACTTCTTTTCTAAGAACTCCCAAAACTTCTTAGCAGACTTTTTTACCACATACACGTGATACAGAGAATTTTATAGACCATCCAGGACATAGTTGCGACACAAAAAATCAGCACTTTTCCATGCATCCCAAGCCGCACGCTTATGCATATCAGTATCATTTTCAGCCACGACAGGGGCATCCTCGGTGAGGAAACGTGCAAGGCCCAAAGTAGTAAGATAAAAAATTATCTTATTCTTCCATGGCTTAAAATCAGTACCAGCAAATTTATCCGGTTGAATTGCACGATTCACCGAAAATAGAGCCGAAAACGACAGCAAAGGTTCTGAGGCCGCAGCCCTAGGTACTGGTAAAGGTATTGTACCAAACTGGATTGCTGAGGCCGCAACCGTAGGTAAAGTGGAGTTCACTCCANAAAGAACGACAACAAAATGTTTAGAATAATAATGAGTTAGTATACTAGAGATAAATTCTAGATCTATGTTATCAATTCGAAACAAAAAAAAAAAATAAATAAATAAAATTATGGAATTGAAATATGATAGCAAATTATTTAGTCAAATTTCTAACATCTTAACAACTATTTAAACATGAATTGGAAAATCATTAACCAATGATTAAAAACAATCATCAAAAGAAAAGGTTAGCAATTATATTCTAATGATGAGTCAATCATAAGCAATCATAACTATATAATAGCTAGATACCAAATGATTTAAAAAAGCATGTAAGTTGATAATATCATGCAAAACCACCATGCAAGTTGATGATATCATGCAAAACCACTTATCTTAAAAACATGCAGAGACCGCCAACTCCATGTAAAATTTCTATTTTTTTTTTTTTCAATTTTGATCGACTCGAAATCTACCCTAATGCACTTTATGTAAATGGTGAACCAAACTTAGGAAACACATGAACTGATGAAAGGGAAAAAAAAAATTAAAACGGACTGGAAAATTACGGAAACTTTAGTAACCCAAATTTTGTGAGTTGAAGATGGTGATATTGAATTAATGCGATGAGAGGAAGGAAGAGTGTACAATCACACACAAGTGAAGGGAGAGGGCACGAGGTGGCTTATGTGTATGGTTCATTTCTAAAGAGAATCAAACTGAAAAAAGAATTATTGATTATCTTACAAATGGAACTTTCGTATCCAAATCTAATTATGAAACCGTTCAATTTAGCTCAATTCAGTGGAATCAAAATTTTCAATGTTCTCATAATTCCAACTTAAAATTATAGAGTACTAATGTGAGAAGTTGATTTAGACAAATGTATAAATGATTTATTAAAAAAAAAAAGTAAGAATTACAGTAATGAGTCCGACAAAGTACATAATGATAAGTAGTATGTGATGTTGAAAATAATATTTGATTTTGATTGAATTTGTATGTTGTGCGCTTAGTAGTCAAATTACCTCAAACCATGCATGACTATGTGCTAGTAAACTAATTCTTTCCATCAGTCACACACACGGAAATTATAGAAAAAACTTCATTTGAATTTTTACCTACACTATTAAATAAACAAATGGATATTATTGTTCTCATCATCTGATAAATAAATTTTGTCCAATAAATAAAATTTTAAAAAACTTCCAAGTAAAATAATATATTATTTTGCTGCTTAAAATGCAATTTACTATTTATTTTAAGTTGAGGTTATAGATTTTTGCTATTTTGCAATTTACAAACATTAAAGAATTCTTAATTTGTTTGGTTTTAAAAAAAAAAAAAAACTGGAATCTTTAAGAAGGGAACACAAATATAAATGATGTTGATAAAAATAGGGTGAAGCCACCTAAACTCTAATGAGGGCAATCATTGGATTTGGAAAAATAATAAGGAAAAATTAGGCCCTGTATACTATGAAAATAACTAATTTGATTAATATCATTTTAATCTAATTAAATCTTTTAAACAAGTCATTAATACGTCCTAAACTACTAACTAAAACCCCCCAACCTAAATCAGTAACGTAACCCGATAGAAACCCTCCCCACTCCTCAACAATGACGATTTCCTCTTCAAGAAACCTCACCAAATTCAAATCTTCGTCTCCATATCCTCCGTTTCCACTCTCTCGATCGTCTCCTCTCCAACTCTCTATCACAGATTTTGGATGTATTTGGTATAGTATCCTAGCCATTTTTATAGAGTTTTTTTAGGAAAATATGAAATTAGTATTTGCTTTTTTTTTTTTATGTTTCATTGTTTATTGTATCGAAGATTGAATAATGGATTGCTCGGAGGAATAAGTTTACTTAGTTAAATTTTGTGAAATGGAAACGGAGGTATTAAGGTCATGTTCTCTTTGCTGCTTTCAAACCGTTTTCTGTTTTCGATTTTTCAAAACAGTGAAAACGCGTTCTTTTCCCTATTTTCGAAAACGCGTTTCTGAAAACAAAAACGCTACAGGTACAGAAAATTTAAACCGCATTCTTACAGGATTTTAAATTATGTAGACGTGGCATAAACAGTGGCGGGTTGGACCAAATGTGTGAAAATCAGTCAAAACGGGGAAAATGACAAAACCGGGTAAATAGCAAAACCGTGTACGAGATCCCATTTCCCCCCAAATCACACGTTCGACACCCTCTATTTCCCCTCCACGAAAGCAACCAGCCCCCATTTTCGGTAACCTTCCGCCTCAAAACTCCAAGCAACCTCCACCATTTTCACCATCCTTCCACCTCAAACATTTCCTCCCTCCGACACCGTTTTAACCCGTCGTCGTATTATCTCCTTCCCCCAACACTTCTTAACCCGCCGTCTCCGAAACTACCATCCACAAGCAGTGACGCCGACAGACCGAAACCCAACTTCAACATTGTCGCTGAAAACAAAGGGCTCTCGCTGCAAATGACGGACAAAGGTATGAAAAACGAGAGTTTACAATGTCTGATTTTCCATAGTGAAAAAATTACTCTTCGCACCCCTTTATGTTCATTTGGCATCTTCTTATGTAGAGGTTAGCTGATACATTTTTAAATTTCGATAAATATACATAAACTGGTTTCCAGATTTTACAATGTTGATTTGACATAGATTGCAATGTGTGATTTTCCCTAAATTGGTATCTAGATTTATGCATTTCAATATGAAGCATCATGGGAATCATCCAAATGGAATGATTATCAGTTTAGGATATTGTAATGGTAAATTAAATTTTCTTCCAGATTTTACAATGTTGATTTGCCATAGATTGCAATGTGTGATTTTCCCTAAATTGGTATCCAGATTTATGCATTTCAATATGAAGCATCATGGGAATTGTAATGGTAAATTAAATTTTCTTATAAAACAAAGAATGATGATCTTCGGAATCGGGGTTAACTTTGCTGGCCGAATTCATATTGAGATAGCTAGAAAGAAATAGCATTTATGAGCATATGGATTTAGTTGTGTGACTTGCGTTACTATTTTAATGGCAAGCGGCAGAGTTATGCTCGTAGTTATAAATAACTTTGCAACTTCTAACAAAATTAGAATTTTGTTTGCAGGAAAAGAAATTGTAGGAGGTGAGAATCAGGATTTGTTGCTGGAATGTGATAACGAGAACAGTATCGAGCATTTGAACACATTGGAGAACGAAAATGAAGGAGGAGATGTTGCGACTGAGCCTGAGGTGGGTATGATGTTTAATAGTGAGAAAGAAATGTTGGATTTCTACAAAAGATATGCCTACGCCGTAGGTTTTCCAGTGAGGTTTGCTTTAAGCTTTTTCCGCCTCGATGGAGTGATGAGATATGTCACGTTCACATGTAGTCGCGAAGGTCGAAGAAGTTATGCTACGGGTGGTTCCTTGAAGCCAGAACCAACATGTCAGACAGACTGTAAAGCAAGAATTTCTGCATCTTTAGATACTCTTAGAGTTTGGAGAATTAACAAAGTGAACCTCGAACACAATCATAAAACAAGTCCTTCAAAGTCACGGTTGTTTCGATGCAATCGAAAATTGACTGCGAGTGCGAAACGAAACTTGAAATAAATGATATTGCAGGAATCCCCTTGCACAAGAGTTTTAACTCGGAGGTTGTAGCAGCTAGTGGATATGAAAATATAACATTTGTGGAGAAAGATTGTCAGAATTACGTCGAACAAGTCAGACGATTACGACTTGGAGAAGGAGATGCAATTGCTACACAGTCGTACTTTTCAAAGATGCAAGCAAGGTGCTTAGGATTTTACTTTAGCATGGATTTAGACGATGAGTCACGACTGAAGAACGTATTCTGGGCAGATAACAGATGTAGGCAGTCGTATAAGGAGTTTGGTGATGTTGTCACTTTCGATACTACGTATCTCACAAATAAGTATGATATGCCGTTCGCCTCTTTTGTGGGTGTAAATCATCACGGACAATCGACGTTGCTTGGATGTGGATTGTTATCGAATGAGGACACAGGTACTTTTTTCTGGTTGTTCAAGACATGGTTGGAGTGCATGCATGGTAAAGCTCCAAACGGGATAATTACTGATCAAGACAGGACAATGCAAAATGCAATTGAGATTGTTTTCCCGAATACAAAGCATAGATGGTGTTTGTGGCATATTTTGAAGAAATTGCCAGAAAAATTTGTCTACCATGTTCAGAAGGGCTCGATATTTTCTGCTATACACACCTTAGTATATGATTCACAATTTGTTGACGAATTCGAGGAAGGTTGGAAGGTGATGCTCGATATGTATGGCTTGCATGATAATGATTGGTTGTCGGGATTGTACAATAACAGAGGCCGTTGGGTGCCTTATTTTTTAAGAACTAGTTTTTGGGCTGGGATGTTCACAACACAACGAAGTGAGATTCCATAGGGTTCACAACGATCATTGTGGGATTTGGTACACCGGTACCAATAGTGTTGTTTTCGTTGTTCACATCGTTATTTACATGTGATACCATTTAACCTTAAAGAACAACAACAAAAGGTTTAGAATAATACTGGGTTTGTAAACTAGAGATAGATTCAAAATCTATATTATTCATTCGAAACAATAAATAAATAAATAAATAAAATTACGGAATTGAAATATGATAGCAACTTAATTAGTCAAATTTCTAACAATTTAACAATTATTTAAACATGAATTGGAAAATCATTAACCAATGATTAAAAACAATCATCAAAAGAAAAGGTTTAGCAATTATTTCTAATGATGAGTCAATCATAAGCAATCAAATAATTTGGCAATCAGAATTATCTAGACAATCATTACTAAATGATTTAAAAAACTATGTAAGTTGATAATATCATGCAAAACTACCATGCAAGTTGATAATATCATGCAAAACCACCTATCTTAAAACATGCAGAGACCGCCAACTCAATGTGAAATTTCTATTTTTTTTTTTCAATTTTGATCGACTCGAAATCTACCCTAATGCACTTTATGTAAATGGTGAACCAAATTTAGGAAATACATGAACTGATGAAAGGAAAAAAAATTTAAAACGAACTGGAAAATTACAGAAACTGTTGAACAAAATAAAAGAATTTGATTCACCAAATAAATTCGATTTAAACTTGTTGGGGAAAATTAGAGAATCAAAGTTGATCAATCAAACCCGAAGGCCCTTGTTTACACGGTTTTCTTAAATCGAATTCGCCGCCTCACCCGAGAGCAAGAAGTTTTGATCGGTGTTCGATTCCCAAGATACAATCTGTTGTCGGTTCCTGCTACACTACGTTAACCGCCTACGAACTAGCTATATTTTTCTCTCAAAGAACTTTGGTAAAGGAAGAACAAGAACAAAAACAGAGGCTGCTAGAAATGAAGGAGGAGGAAACGGGTTTTGGTTTTTTCTTGTTGTGTTTACTGTTGTGTTTGCTATGTTCACTCCAACCGAGAGCTCTTCTATTTATACTCATAGAAGAGGAGTCAGCTCTTTAATGCATTGAATGGAGAGTTACATGAATGAGGAGTTATAGCACTAATGAAATTCAAACGGATGGAGGAGGAAACTGATTTTCATTCAATATTTCCAACAAATCTCCCTTGGAACGCCATCTTTCGAAACCCTAGCCATTGCTGACATTGGCAGTGACGTACTCTGGACACAATGTGCACCTTGTATAGATTGTTACAAACAAACTTTACCACTTTTTGACCCCAAAAAGTCAACTACTTACAGGAATTTATCCTGTCAATCTGAGCTATGTACTGCTGTTGGAAGTTCAAGTTGTGGTATTAAAAATGTCTGTGAATATTCAGTTTCTTATGGGGACAATTCTTATAGTAATGGAGATTTAGCAGCAGACACTCTCAGTTTTCAATCTAGTACTGGGAAAGCAGTGTCTTTTCCTAAGACCACGTTTGGCTGTGGCCATGAAAATGGTGGCACTTCAATGAAAGTGGCTCTGGGATCGTAGGGCTTGGAGGTGGATCTCTTTCAATTGTTAAACAATTGGACAAATCCATTGGTGGGAAATTCTCATAATGTTTAACTCAAATTGATGAGCCCAATGATCCAAGCAAGATAAGTTTTGGCTCTAATGCATTGGTTTCAGGGCCAAATGTTGTTTCTGTTAAGGGATAGAAAGATAGAGTAGAACGAATCAATCCTGCATAGGATATGTAGCATTTTGCTTTGAACCTTCCCTTGTGAAACCTATAGGGAANAGTATTACTAGCAAACCAGTGGATCTGATGCCTTGAACTGTTTCGCCATTTGTGTAAACCAAGACAATAGACCTCACACAGGACCATTCTAGACACAACGTAGTTCTCATTGTTGTGTTCATTTTGGCCATGATCACGTCGCCTAGTTCTGCAAGTGTTTGTTCAAGGATGTAGGCCTCCCAATTCTAAAGATGTTGGTTTAAAGAAACTTATAAAGGATTGAATTACTCCTCTTAATAAGGTTGACCTTTTAAGATGGAACTCCAATTCTTAATATGGTATCAGAGCCCATAACGAGCAATTCGATCCGGTTAAGACTCCAAAAGTGAGTATACGAATTTCAAGATTGGTCTGCTCAAACAAGCTACCATCTTGCGGAAACATGTTAAGGGATAGAATCTCACATCGAATAAAGATGTGAACATAAACTAACTTATAAAGGATTTGGTTACTCCTCTTAATAAGGTTGACCTTTTAAGATGAAACTCCAATTCTTAATAGTGTCCACTCCCTTGATAAAGAAATCTCCAAACACTTTTTAATACCTAAATTTGGAAAGTGTTAGTGTTGGAACCACTAAAATTGTCTACAGACCCCTAAAAGGTTCCGGCATCGACGCCTCTTCTTCTGATCAAGGTTACATCATTATTGATTCCGGGACGACATTGACTTTCCTCCCTGAGGAAATTTACAATCAATTCGAATCGGCCCTCGTAAAGGCTATCAAGGGGAAACGTGTGAAGGACCCACGAAATGGATTCAACTTGTGCTATCAAGCCACCGGTGGAAGCTTTGATGCACCACCAATTGTTGCTCATTTTACTGGTGCTGATGTAGAGTTGCCACCAACAAGTACATTTCTTGAAATTGAGGAAGGGATGGTTTGTTTGACATTGGCGCCTTCTTCGGATTTGGCCATATATGGGAACCTAAGTCAAATGAATTATCTTGTAGGATATGACCTTGTGAATAAAAAGGTTAGTATCAAACCAACTGATTGTTCCAAGGCAGCTTAACCATTAATGTAGTTTCCGGTTCTTGTCTGAACAATTAGTGTCTTTTGGTTTAGGGTTTAATGATCAGTACTAATGATTTTCTCATATTCGTGTTTGATTTCTTTAATTTTTTCTTCAATAGTGTCAGTTTCGTCAAACAAGCTATGGAAGTTTATTTAGCAACTGATACTCTAAACACTAGAATCATGCAATAAATACGAGTAATATGTTATTAAATAATAATATTTAAAATTTCCATTACTAAAATTTAAAATGATGGTTGAGACAAGGGCAATTTTTCAAAACAGTCCTTAATATAGTTGAAATTAAAATAAAACTTGTCACCTTTCATTTTTAAATTGAATTACCAAAAATGCTAGTAGAAAGTACAACCAAGGAGTAGTTAATTATCATCTTTTACAAGCTTATTTTAAGTGTAAATCAACTAATATCACATTGGTTGGCTAGTAACCGAAATTTTGTGAGTTGAAGATGGTGATGTTGAATTAATGCGGTGAGAGGAAGGAAGAGTGTACAATCACACACAAGTGAAGGTAGAGGGCACGAGGTGGCTTATCTATAGGGGCGTGTATGGTTCATTTCTAAAGAGAATCAAACTGAAAAAACTTTCATATCCAAATCTAATTATGAAATTGAGCCGTTCAATTTAGCTCAATTCAGTGGATTCAAAATTTTCAATGTTCTCATAATTCCAACTTAAATTTTGTAGAGTACCAATGTGAGAAGTTGATTTAGACAAATTTATAAATGGTTTATTAAAAAAAAAAAAAAAGAAATAAGAATGGCAGTAATGAGTCCGACAAATTGTGTAGATAATGATGAGTAGTATGTGGTGTTGAAAATAATATTTGATTTTGATTGAATTTATAAGTTGTGCGCTTAGTAGTCAAATTACCTCAAACCATGCATGGCTATGTGCTAGTAAACTAATTCTTTCCATCAGTCACATACACGGATTTCTTCAATTATTCCATTAATTCTGAGGCTAATTCCTCAAATCGTTCTCTTTGTTGCCTTACTTCCTTTATCTGTTTCTTATTTCCTTTTCAGTTGTTTATTTTACCTTACATGTTCTTTGAATTACATATTGAATTTACTTATTGGTAACATAAAAATATTTTTTGGATTAATAATTAAAAATTTTCAATTATAAATAACTGAACAAGCCAAAATACCTTACTTGAAAATAACCGATATATATATATATATACATATATATATATAGATATATATATATTTTAGACAGACATCCAAAGAAAACTAGTACAAATTTTCCTATGAATGCAAACAAAACAT